TGACAGTAAGGCTGTCTTAACACAGAGGAAAACACACCCTTGTGACCTCTCCAGAGGGGCTCCCATGGTGTTCTTCTCCAGCGGTGGGAGGGCAGTGTCCTGTTCCTCCAGCAGCACATGCACAGAGGACTTCTAGAACATGCTCAGGTAGGGCAATCCCCACAGAGATTCTGACAAGGAGAGTCACTAGACCACACTTCCTTTTTTTGCTCCCAGTCGCATGGCAGGCCGCTTACAGTCCCCTCTTACAGATCACATCCTTGTTGTCCCGAGCTTCTTCAGCGATCGTTTCATAATCTGTCGGCTTAGTCTGCCCGTATCTAGGCTCTCTGCGCAGCTTCTCAGTTGACAAGGGGTGTCAGGGAAACAGAAGGTTTCGCTAAAGGAAAGGTAAACAATTTAAAGAATCTGCGGGTGCTCTGGGGCCAAGGGAAACCACCTTCAGGTCTAAAGTCCCCACGGCCTCGAGAGAGGAGAGCAGGTGCTTTCCTCCCCTGCCCTGCCGGAGGTCATGCAGCCCCAGGAACTTCTTTCCTTTCGTCTAGTCCCTGCTGTGCCCACAAGACCCAGGTCTCCAGGCAAGATCTTCAGAGTGGAGAACAGGAAGACAATGGAGTTTCTTCCTCCCTCCTTCTTCCCTTCCTTCTTGTTTCAAGAAAGGTGGGGTCCTTTCTTGATCTTTCTAGGAAGGGGAGGCATGGAGTCACCACTTTCTAGAATTTGAATGCAAAGATTTGCCATGAACACCTGGAGGAGAGCTAAGGGATGCCGTGTACTCAGCTGTACACATTCATGGTGCACCCAGAGCCCACAGCCTTTGGTAACACATGCCGGCCTTGAGACAGGCAGAGCAGGCAGAGGAGGCTAAGATCATGGTTTGAAGCCCAGTGTGGTGAAGCATGCCTGTGATGCCAGGCAGGACTCAGGAGACTGAGGTAGGGGGATCAACACAAGTTCAAAACCAGCCTGGAAGGCAGAGCAAAAGTTTGTCTTGGAAAAAAAGGAAGGAAGGGAGGGAGGGAGGGAGGAAAGAAGGAAGAAAGAGGAGGAAAGATATGAAATAAATATATACTTAGAGTTCTGCTCTCCTGCTCATGGCCTATCTGGCCATTTGCAAACCACTTTGTCTCGCAAAGCCTCATTTTCATCTATTGGGGGAAACATCAGCATCTATGTTTCAACTCCGTGAAGGTGCCAAAGGACACAGTCCCTTAGAATGCATACAGGTGACCTGCAGAGAGCCTCAAGAATCAGCAGGGCTAATGCTGGCTGTACTGGCTCATGCAAAGCAGGAAAGAAAGGCACCCATGGTTCCTGGTGCACTGACATGGCCCTGGAGATACCCAAACTCCGCTCGCTTCAGTCTCCCCAGAGCGATCATCTCCAGGGGCTTTGCTAAAGAGCAGACACTTGCAACCACTAACAGAAAGAGACCCCAAAAAAGAAAGGGCTCAGAGGAAATGAGAGGTGGTAACGGGAGGATAGATGTGGCGGTCTCAAAGAAAGTGGCCCCCAAAGGGAGTGGCACTATTAGGAAGTGTAGTCCTGTTGGAGGAAGTGCGTCACTGTGGAGGTGGGCTTTGAGGTCTCCTATATGCTCCTGCCATGCGCAGTGAGACAGTCTACTTCCTGTTACCTGTATATCGACACGCAGCAGCTAGCTTTCCAGCATCGCATCAGCCTGTACGCCACCACATCCCGCCATGAGGACACAAAATGGACTGGACCTCTGAACTGTAGATGAGCCACCACAATTAAATGTTTTCTTTGTAAGAGTGGCCGTGGTCATGGTGTCCCTTCACAGCAATAGAAACCCTAAGACAGTAGGTATAATCGAAATATATAATACACATGTTTAAAAATTTAAGTTTGTAAAACGGCTGTGTGTCTATGAGTCCCACCAAATCCCTCACCCTGCCTCGTGTCCCCTCCTGACCTGACCATGGCTCCCATCAGCTCATGTGCCACAGCCACGCTGCTCCCTTCCTCCGTGTCTCCCACAGTCGTCTCCCCACTCCCCTGAATGATCCCCATTCATCTCCTCTGCATGTGCGCCTGGTAAGATAAATGCCCCTTCTATTCTAGGAACTGATGGGGAAGTCCCTAGCTGTCATAGAAGGCAGCTGACACCACCTGCACTGAGTACCCTAGAGACTACCTAGAACAAAATGCAAATGCCCAGGCTTGACGGTCGCCAGGCTCCCCATGGGAGGACTGAGTCCCATACCGTCGTTATGGACGGTATCCAGGTGATGTAGACCAAGGATCTGCCTTCCATACCTTGCAGACAGACAATGTTCAGCTAGAGTCAGACCTGAAAAATTCCACGCATAGTTTAATAGTGCCTTGTGTGGTCCAGCACTACCCCACTCCCCAGACTGAAATCTAATAAGTTGAGTTACTACAGGTGAGTCACTTCCCCTTTCTGTGCCCACCGCTGTCCTCTCTGTCTCTCTAGCAGAAAGAAAGACCACACTGGGTACAGGAACACGTAGCTGGAGGAGACTGAGGCAGGAAGGTGACTTGAGCTCTGGAATTCACAGTCAGTCTGAACCTGACTCAAAAATCCAATCAGTCAATAAACGAGCCAGAAAGGAAGAATGAAGACTTTGGGGTGTTTGAGGCCTTGCTACTCTTAAATGCTTGGGGTTCTATCTAAGACCAACATGGTGGAAAAGAAAATGAGAACTCTTGGGGATGAACCCGGACACCCCACCACTGCCTACGCAGCCAGCCAGCCCTTGCCGTCGATGCTCTAAGGGGACAGAGCTCTTAGGCCAGGCAGAGGCAACAGCATCAGCATCCAAGAGTGACAAATGCATCATGAGGAGCAACCCCAGCCTCTGCGTCACAAAAGCCAGTCAGAGCAAGTGTGGCACAAGGTGGCATCTGAATGTAAGGACCCAGAACCAGGCTACGGGGCACCAGAGAGCAGGTGAGAACACCCGGTCTTGGGGGAGCAGCTGCAGCTCAGGTGAGGGAGGCCTTAACAGAGAATCAACACTGCACAGACCCTAGACAAGGGTAGTCATGGCATAGATTATAAATGGGTTATATTCTCCAGAGCTGTGCAGCTCAGCTGTGCAACAAGCTGGGACTGGACACATGGAACTGGGCTCCCCAGGCGTCCTGGGCCCTGACCAATGGCAGGAATAGCCCATTCCTGCCTTTGATCAGTTAGGGCACAGACAGCAGCTCCCAGGAAGGATATTCTCCAGCCCTGCTGGGGACTAGAGGCCTGTGCTCAGCCCCAGGCTGGTCATCATGAGACCGAGGTGGGGGTGGGGCCACAACAGGCTCAACAGGAACTGTCCTTAGATCTGTAATCTGCTACAGTAATTACAGGTGGCCCCACTCTGCCCTCTGGGTCCAGGCTTCCCATCCCACCCTCATTGACTCAAGAGCACTGTTAACCAGGGAGTAGGGCACAGGGAAAGTTCTAGGCTATTGGAAGCTATAGCCAAACAGGCCCAGGAGATTGGTATAGCTTCACTTAAAGCAACCCATTAAAAGTGCGAGTTTGTGGTAGAGATTACATATTGCAAAAACAAAGGAAATGTGTTGCCTTGAAGCATACCAGATGTTCTTCTCAGCAAAGTCTCTTAACTCTGGAGGTAATTAGATCATCACTCTCTTTTATGACCAAGGAAATAGACCCAAGGAGCTGACAGAAATAACTACACAAAGACCTCTGCTTGAGACAGTGTCCACAACAGAGCTGACCACAAGATCTTTGTGGTCTGCCATCAGAGATGGCCTGACCCTGGTTCAAGACAGAGGGGTTCAATCACTAAAGATTGAGGAGCACTGGGTAGCAATGCTACAGGTTTATGAGAAGCTCTTTGACTCCAGAAGGGTCATCCTGGGTCCTCTAGGCCACTGAAAACTTCATTCTCTTTGGTTTTCCAACCAGAGTCCTAAGTGGGACCTGCTTTGTGGTCTCTGCACAAACCTTGGAAATATTTGAGAGCTTTGAAAATGATGAAGTTGGTAACAACGTGCCTGCCATGCCCACATAAGGACCTGAGTTTGGATTCCGGCACTTACATACGAAGTTTGTGACCACAACAGTCAAGAGAGGGTAGGAAGAGAAAAGGGCTCCTTGAAGCTCATTCGTCAACAAGCTTAGCCAATGGACAAGACTTAGGGAGAGACCTTGTCTCAAAAACTAAAGCAGAGGGCTGGCAAGATGGTTCAACCAGTGGGTAAAGATGCTTCCTGCCAAGCCAGATGAACTGAGTTTAATCTCCAGAACATACATGGTAGGAAGAGAACCAGCTCCCACAAATTATCGTCTGAACTGTTGGGAGATATTCGATTATACTACGTAAAGCTATGTCACTGTGGTTGCTTTAATAAATAGCTAAATGACCAATAGTTATACAGGAGGTATGGGCGGAACTTCCAGACAGAGAGAGTTCTGAGAAGAAGGAAGGGGGAGTCTCCAGGCAGACGCGGAGGGAAGAGGACATGCAGGTCCATAGACGAATAGAAATAGGTTGATTTAAGTTGTAAGAGCTAGTTAGAAACAAGCCTAAGCTAAGGCCAAGACTTCATAATTAATAATGCATCTCTGTGTCATTTGTGAGCTGGTGACCCAAAGAAAATTCAGATTACACTGATCTTTGCAGACACCATGACACATACTCCATAAATAATTGGAAAAAATTTTAAAAAGATGGAGAGAGGTCAAGAAAGATGCCTAACATTGACCTCAATCCTCCACATGTACTTGCCTATATGTGCAATACATACACATACACACACACACACACACACACACACACACACACTCATGAAAGTCAAAAGGAGACCAAATGCTAGCACAGAGGCGCTATGAGACGCTGACCAGCTATTGAAAGACCCCCGCATGACACAGCCACTCGGAAGTTTTCAAATTCTCTTTATTAAAAACCATTTTTTTCCTTTTGTAAAAACAAACACTTTGGGTCAGTTATATAGATCAGAAAAAAATGATGACAATTTATCTAAGACACTCAAAAATTCTAATATTTTTATTTTATGGGTTCAAACTTAAAGTAATTAATAGTTCTGTTTCTCTCAAATACTCACAAAATAATCTCTGGTCCAGTTCAAGTATAATCTTACAGATCACCCCCTCAGACTGTCCAAGAATGGGAAACCTGAACACCAATGGCCACAGCTTCTACTAACAAGTTCACCCAAGCCCCTGAGAGTCCAGCCTGGAAACCACCAGGTGCTCACCATGACCATAAGAGAACGTGGGCCTTCCATACATCCACTCAGGATGCAAACGAATCTTTTGTGTAAGGCAGCAACTGTTCATGAACGACCGTGGGGAGAGACATTTTAAAATGATTGGCGAAACACTGAACAGAAATTTTTAAAAAAAGAAATCAGTATTTTCCTGGTTGTCTTTACTACTGCACTGCATGTCACACACAGAGGAATAAAAAGTGCCAGGACCATGCCGATGGAGTTATATAAAAATAAATATATATATATGTATATACACACACACACAAGTATAGAATCATCCGTGACTTTAAACTGAAGGTGGTAACTGAAAGTAGAGACTGCCTTGTCTTTCTCCCTTTGGAGGACCTTCTCTAGAGTGCTCTGAAGAAGGTCAACTTACAATCGAGGGAGCCGTCTCCCCGCCTGAGAACTGGGCCATGTGAATTCCCATAGAAATGCTGTCAACATAGGAGCCAGTGGTGCCGGTGAGGTCTGTCTCACTCTGCTGAAAGAAAAAGTGTCCAGCGTCTGCTAATGTACAGGTCTAGCTTCTGCTAAAATACAGGTCCAGCCTCTGGTGGAGCTGCTAATGGATTTAGGGATGTGGCCAATAGCTATTCCCAGAAGTCAAAGGTTTTCTGAGAAATGGGGGAGACTTTGCTGATGACTACAATGCTGGGGTGCCACCTGTGGAGCCCACCAGGGGAACGATGGGGACTGAGACACACTATTGAGTCTTAACTCTTTGGATACCACCTTCCTGAAGTCCCAACTTCCCATCACTCCTTTCCAGACTGGCCTGTCTCTTCCCTCTCTTTCTAAGGTTCCACAAGTTCTCTCCTGGCCAGAACCACAGGCCCCAACGTTTACACGTGGTCATCATAGTGTCTGCGTTCATTTCCTTTCTGTGCCTCAGTTTCCTCCCTGATAAAATGTTGGTGTTGAGCTAGATCACTTCTCCACTGCTCTTCCATAGAATGGCAATATGGGGTGGGGGGGGGGGAAGATATGATCCCTGTCCAGTCTGTTTGCCTTTACCTGGGAACACAAGCTGGCAACTCACACAGGCAAACCATCCACACGGAGGACACCTTCAGGTAGGCATGTCTACTCGTGGAGACAGCACCAGGCTCTCTCTGACCTCAGGTCCATTCTATGGCTCAAATGGAGCTCATGTCTTCTAGTACCCGTGTCCACTAAGACCCTTCCGCCCACATGGGAAGGGAGTGCTGACCCCATCGGGAATCAGGAATCTGTTCTTCCTAGCATTTCAACGTCCAAATCAGCATAAGCGAGGCCTCCATCCTCACCCAAAGGTCCCCAGAAAACCAAGTGTTTTAGTTTCTCCTTCAATGGGGGATCATTTTCAAATCATTCGAATACAGGGTACTCAAGAGTAGAGGCACCAAGGGTGAATCAAGGTCAGATGCCAGTCCCTTGATGCTGACTTAGGCTGATTCGCAGCAGAGCCCAGCATGCACCCTGGCCCACACCAATTTCCTCCTCTAGCTATAGGGAGAAGCCATGGCTGACCTCAAATTTAGATAAAGTGAATCTAGACCAACATCACCATCCTGAACAGAACAAACCCAGACCCATACTTAAACTAAGACGTTTGGATTGGTCCTCCCAGAGCTTCGACAATGTTGAGTTCTTTGCGCCATAAAATTAATATAGTTTTACTTTAAGGCATTAGCCTGGTGGTTTTCTAGAATAACTGAGGATGAATGGCTTTCTGAAAATGGGTGCGTTAGGGCTGAGCACGCAGCTCAGATGGTGGAGTATCTGCCTCTTTGCTGGAAGCCCTGGGTCTGATTCCAGTACCACAATGCCTACAGCCACAGTACCCAAGAGGTAGAGGCTGGAGGATCAGGAGTTCAAGATTACCCTTCACGGCAAGGCCTGAACTACATGAGAATCAGCCTCAAAACAAAAGCCCAGGGCTTTGGGGGCAGAAAGCTTAGTGGGAGAGCACCTGTTTAGAATATAGAAGGTCCTGGGTTCAATTCCCAGCACCAGCCAGAGCACCAGCCAGAGCACCAGCCAGAAACTGAAAAAGAAAAGGAGCCTTTTCAAAATGGTGGGATCCAACTGAAGGAAATTGTAATGAAACTGCTTTACCTCTGCCAACTGATTCATTGGTGACCCCTCTCAAGATTCATTGGAGACCCCTCTTGAGAGGAACCTGACTCAGCCCCCTTGGGACACACAGGACCCAGACTGCAAGACCACCTCGGGTTCACCGAAGACTCTAAATCCAGGGCAACTGTTAGACTTTTTCCTTGCGTGGCCCAGCCCCACATGACTGATCTGCCAGAACCAGTCAAAAATTGAAACCCAGTGACAATCCCTGAGAGGTTGGAGTTTATGTAAAGGAAATAGACTTTGGCACAGAAGGGATAGGTAAGAAGAAGAGAGAAAAACAAACTAAAAAACAGCCCCCAGGAAGCTGGTGACCCTCAGTGGGCTGGACTCGTCTCTGGGAACAAGCTGAAGCACCGTGTCCTGCCTGGCTCTCCTTCTTCTCTGTTCTCAGTCCTGTCCCCGAGGCCACACTGGCCCTAGTTCAGCGGGCTTCCCATTCTCCTTCCAGAGACAGTGGCCGCGGCAATATCAGAGCTTCTTCTTCTCGAAGTGTGGCACAATCCCGCTCTCCTCAGGGCTTGGACTGCCTGCCCCCTCCATCTCCTTCAGGCCCTCCTCGGCCAGCTGCGACAAGTACTTCTGTGGAGGAGAGAGGGACAGTGCAGGCAGAGAGACGTCAGTGGTGGCACGGTGTGTGTGTGTGTGTGTGTGTGTGTGTGTGTGTGTGTGGTGTAGAACCCCTTTCCTAACCCTGTGGCAAATGGGGACCACGTCTCCCGTCTCCAGTGTTTCTTAGGGCAGTAGGACCACATTCTATTTCCAAACAATGTAAGTATCTTGTGGGAAAAGCAGGAAGGAGCGATACTAACCATAGCAACCACCCCTACCCTTCTTTGTTGCCAGGCACTTGCTAACTACCTGGCTTAAACTCAATCCTCGTGACAATGCTACCTGTTTTCCAGGAGAGCTGCAGAAGAAGGGAGGTGGAGGATGGCAGGAGTCCAGGACTGGCCCACGGGACATCAGAGATTCCCAACAATCCTGAAGGACATGCTATGGGGGAGGGCCTCGAGCCCCCTGAATGGACTGGAAGTAAAACGCCGTCTCTCCAGTGGGGGCCTGCCTCCACAGAGCTAGAAGCACTTATGGCCAATAAGCCAGCCAGGGCTGGCCTGTGTTCCGAATATCTGGGACCAGCGCTGTGACAGATGAGGGGAAGGCCTGGCTGTGCTGGAGCAGCAAGAACGGTGCAGACAGCACTTGACTGGCAGTTATAAAGGTCAAGGCCAGTTCAGGGGTCAAGCGTGCAGTCTCAGCTAACAGATGTCCTGGGTTCAAATCCACGCTCTCTGCAGGCAAGTGGCTGAATGTCCCTAATATCTGTGAAGTGAGGGTAACCATGACAACCTCGCCAGCAGTCGGGGAGTGGGGCAGTGTTTGCTATAAGTGGAAAAGTGACACATGCCTCATACAGCACCCAGCATAATGTCTGCCACACGGTAAATACTCGAGAATGTCAGGCTTGTGCATGAGCTGAACCTGCTGTAGGATTGGGGGGGGGGTCCTTAATCTCCCCTTGTCCCTAGTGAGAGCAATGGCGTCTCCCTTGCCCTCCACCTGCTGTGAAACTTTAGCTTTTGGGGGTGGCTGCAGTCTGACTCAGAGCCAGAACCCTAGCAGATGCCTGTGGGTGAGGCTGATGCTGGAGAGTTCTAGCTTCTCCTCTGCCAGCTTCGAGAATCCCAAGTGGGTGAGTACCCTGCATACGGGTGCGTCCTTTGCGGCTTGCTGCCATCTTCACGCCCAGGGAGGCCTACACTGGTATGTCAGATCACTCCCCACGGGTGCACATAGAGCCGTGACCAGCAATGGCTTAGAGAGACTTCTGGAAGCTGCACTGAGGCGCCTTCAACCTGTTCCTTCCTCTCAGGGTATCCCTGACACCCTCCGCCCCCACTCAAGGCCTCCTGAGGAGTCCTAACTCTGTAAGTTGCCTGACTTGAGTCAGCCGGCACCTGCTGTGTGGGTCTCAGGTCTTCACTTTCCTCACATGCGGTTTGGAGTGAAGTGAGACAAAGGTGTTCTGCCAAGGCCCCCGAGGGAAGCCCTGTCTGAGGTGGCTGTGGCAGAGGCTCCTGGCTCCCTGACAGATACAGGAGGGACCTTGAACTCAGGTTGGACAGCGTGAGGAGCTGAGGCAATGCCTATGCCCAGTATATCTTGGAACCACAGGGATGGTGCTGACCTGCTGTGGGAATGGGAGGCAGCCTGGAGTTAGGCCCTAGAGGCCCTGAACACCATGCAGACCACCGCCCTGGAGAAAGGCAGCCTCTGAATTCTTCCTCTCTTAGTGGGAGTAAGCTTGAACTCTTGGGTCTCCTTGGGGCCATACAATTCTACCAAGAAAAGACCAAAGATTCTCACACTGAGGAATTAGACATTCACAGAAAGGCTGTTAAAATGAAGATTCTTGGCCTTGGTGTGTGGCTCAGTGGTATTTCTCTAGAACGTTCAAAGCCCTGGGTCTAATCTTAAGCACCATAACATTTTAGAAATGGAGATTCCTGGGTCTACACTAGGCGGGTAGGCGCAAAGCAGATGCATTTTAAAAAGACGCCAGCTAACTCAAAGGAAAATCAGTGCCGCGTTACCCCGTGCCCTTCCAGCTTGCAGATGGTCTAAGAATGATGAAGTGTGGTGATGTTTTGTTTGTGATCTAACAAATAAAGCTTGCCTGCCTGAAGATCAAAGTGCAGCGCTAAGCCACTAGTTAGCCATAGAGGCCAGGCAGAGGTGGCACACACCTTTAAGGTCAGCACTCAAGAAGCAGAGGCAAATGGGTCTCTGTGAGTTCAAGGTCACCCTGGGCTATCCGAGATTGAGCCAGTCTAAAAGAGAAACAGAGCCAGGCGGTGGTGGCTCACACCTTTAATCCCAGTATGTGGGAGTCACATGCCTTTAATCCAACACTCGGGAGGTAGAGACAGGAAGGGATATGACTGGGCGGGGAGGAAACAGGAGCTCAAGGCATTCAGTCTGAGGACATGTAGAGACAGGCTCTTGCCCCCTGGGTCTGAGGATTTCATAGAGATAAGAACTTTAGTGACTGGCTCCTTTATTTCTCTGACCTTTCAGCATTTACCCCATATCTGACTCTGGGTTTTTATTATTAAGATCAACTAGGATTCGAACAACAATGAGGTTTTTGGGTTAGATGACTGTAACCAGGTAGCTCTCAGAACCCAGTGAGCCCAGTCTCAAGTTCCTGCTCTGGTCAAACCAGACCACCATTCCCTTTCCTCCCCAGGAGAGAGACAGAACAGTGTGTCTGCCATGTTCCTAGAACAGCTGCTCCCTAGTGGGAAATCAGGAGATTTAAATGACCCCGGGTACAGTCAGAGAGAACCTCTTACATGCGGGAAATCAGGAGGTTTAAATGACCCTGGGTACAGTCAGAGACAGTCTCTTATGTGCGGGAAATCAGGAGGTTTAAATGACCCCAACATAGTCAGAGATAGTCTCTTACAGGCGGGAAACCACGAGGTTTAAATGACCCCAGGCACAGCCAGAGACAGTCTCTTACTTGTGGGAAGCCAGACGGAGCCATCCCCAGCCCCGAAGATCAACTTAGAGGAGGAGGAAGAAACTAGTGACGTGAACCAAGAGATGTGGTCCCAGGCCCAGTGGCTCTCCATAGCCAGTGCCCAGAGGGAACCTTACAGTGCTCCTCCAAGCTTCAGGCCTCAAGGGTAAAGCAAACCTGAGATTCTTAACTAGATGCTCACATTAACCATTTCATTTTAAATTACATGTTACTGCTGCCCCCCAATATGTGACCTAGCATATGTACTCCGAAACTGCAGGCAATTCTAGTCCGCATTCCTGCTTAAAGACCACTAGATTAGGTCCAGGAAAATGTCTCAGTGGGTAAGGGTCAGTGTCTCCAAGCCCGTGGACCTGATTTTGAGCCCCAGAACTCAAACGGAGGATGGGGAAAACCAATTCCTGCAAGTTGTCCTCTGACTTCCATGTCTCCGCTATGGTATGTGTGTTCCTACCTTTACTAAATAAGTAAATAAATGTAAAAAAGTAACACACATGACTTTTAAAAAACAAACCATCAGATAAGTCACTCTAAAAAATTAACTATGAGAGGAATACCTGGTCTAAAACTACAGCAATAACGCCCCAGGCCCTTCTTGGATTGAGCCATGTGACTCAAACTCTGGATATTTATTTTGCATGTAGTGTCCATGTGTGTATACACTCATGTGTGTGTATGTATATATGTGTGTATATGTAGTATGTGTATATGTACATATCTGTGTATATATCTGTGTATGTGTATACATATGTATATATGTGTGTATGCCTATATCTGTGTGTATGTATATGTGTGTGCAAGTATACATGTATTGTGTATATGTTTGTATGCATATGTATATGTTATGTATATGTGTGTGTATGTGAGTGTATATATATATGTGTGTGTGTGTGTGTGTGCATGTGTATGTGCATGTAGAGAAGTCAGGTTGATATTAGGTCTCTTCCTCTGTCACTCTGCCTTATGTTTTGAGGCAGAGTCTCTCTCACTGAACCTGGAGCTCACCAATTTGGCTAGACTGCCTGGCCAGTGAGCTCCAGAGATCTTCCTGCCTCTGCCTCCCCAGTGCTGGGATTATAGGCATGCGTCACCATGCCCAGCTTCCATGTGAGTGCCAAGGAAGGTCCTCGTGTGCCCATGCCAAGCATTTTATTGCCTGATTCACCGCCTACCGCTAAACTCTGGTTCTGGCTGTAAAAGTGTAGCAGCCTTGTAGCGCTCACCCCTGCCCCCACACCAGCAAATGAAATACCTGTAAAACCCAGCCTGTGCCAGGACTTGATCACAAAAATTACACGGGCTTTAGGCATAGATATTGCCTCAGCTCTCACACTGTCCACCCCAGTTCACTTCCCTGGTGCACCTGTCAGGGAGCCAAGAGCCTGTGCCACAGTCATCTCAGATGGGGCGTCTGTTGGGGGCCTTGGCAGAATGCCAAACAGGAGCATGCTCATTGACTTTAAGACATTTTTGAAAACCCATTACTATCTCTGAAATAAACGTGCATCTGACAGTCGAGAGAGTCTCCCCGCTCAGTTCGCTGCACTGGTTTTTCTAATTGGTGTTAAACTGGTATAGCAGGCTGAGGATGTGGCGCAGGCGCGGAGCATGTGATGGATATATCTAAAGGTTCAACCCCATGACAAAGAACAAACATTTAAACTGGTATGTACTAGTCAAGGCGTCTTAGCTTGGATGAAATGTGGGGTTCAGTACCTGCTACAGGTGACACTTTGACACAGGCATCACTTAGTTGTTGCCTGTACCCAGGTGTCCTACACTCAGCCAGAACCTACAAGGGATGAGTCTGGATTCGTTGCTGTTGTGTTCACAGAGCCTAGACCAGTTCTGCATGCAGGCGCTGCCTGTGACAAGCGTTTGTTTGTGCTAGCTGAACATGTAATGGGGCAGAACTGGTTTTCATTCCAGTCAAAAAGGTTATCTGCATGGAGGAGGAGAAAAGGAAGCGCCCTGGGCTGAAGCCCCCAGGCCTGGCTGAGAGGGCTGACACTGTGTGTCAGGAGAATACCAGCAGAACTCAGCTTGTGCTCCATACGCTGTGGGTGGGAGGTGTTTAAAAGGCCCTTAGGATGAAGTCTGTCTGTGGGACAGCCTGTAGAGTCAGCCATTCTCCACACGGTGGGAGGAGGTATTAGTTTACAGAAGCATGTCTAAATGGTATGCTAGGGGGCTAGGAAGTCCCTGTGGCCTCTAAGATGGAAGTTCAAGTCAGAGGCAAGTGAGGTCTAAGACTTCTAGGTGCTGGCTTGTGAGTGGAGACTGGGAAATCGCACGAGGTGGACAGCGAGGAGAGCGAGCAGTTACCTGCAAGTTCCGGTAGTGGACAGCACTGCGACAGTGGCTCACTTTGGCGGCCTCCTCACTCGTGTAGAACAGGCCGCACAGCTTGCAATAAAAGCCAGTCCTGGGAACCACGAACTCCACTCCTGGGGAAGGGTGGGGAATGGACAGCCAGCATTAGGAAGCGCATTTGCCGGTGACTTTGGCAGTTACCAGCTCCTCTGAGCTTCACCTCCTCGGCCACAGTTACAACACAGCCAGGGACAGAAAGTGCCTACCCGATTCACAGGTCCTTGTGAACATCAGGGGCATGCTGCAAGCAGGTGGAGGACACCCAGCAATGACTGCCCAGCGCCCTGCCTTTCAGGTCTGAGTCCATGGGCCTGCCTCTGAAGAGAAGGGAAGGAAGGCCTCTACTTCTCTAAAGATTTCGTGTCTGCTTGGTTCTCCTCTCTGCATTTGGGACTCAAATTCTCTGTATAATGAGGTTTGTTTTCAGATCACTTTTATCAAAGAAAAATAAAATTAAATAAAAGGAAAATTTACCCACTCTCTGTAATGCAAACATGTGCCCCTTATGATTTGTGGTGGACCAGGCTGGCCTCAGACTCACTGAGATGCACCTGCATTGGCCTCCTGAGCGCTGGGAGCTAAGCCTAGGTACTCAGGACCTACATGCTGGACAGGAGCCTTCCCTGTGTGAGCAGAACACAGCGGCCGAGGGAGGGGTGCTGCTCCCATCCCCTCTGCTGAGACAACCTGGGGAACTGGGCTGGAAGGAGGAGAGGGTATGGCAACTTTCAGAGGGAGGAGGATGAGGTACCCATTCCTCAGCGCCCCAAGCCTCCTAACCGCAGCCCGGTCCTTGTCTTCCTTCACTTCGTGCTCAGTACACAGGAGATCCTAAACTTGTAAATATAACTCTCCTTTACATCCTGATAGTAATAATGATGGTGATAATTAATAATAACAATACATTTATTAGTGGAAAGCGGTGGCTCTGAGGGAGGACAGAAGTGAGGAAGCCCCGAAGGACGGCGTGCAGCCTGCCAGCCCAGAGCTCCACACTGCAGCTTGGAACCTGGCTGTCTCTCTGCTGTGCAGCTGTCTGCCTGCTGACTGCAAAGCCCTCAGCATTCGGCCACAAAGCCCAGAAGTGTCACTCAGTCCAGCTGTCCCAAGGGGCTGAATGTCCTCCCTCACCCTCTACTCTTACCCTCTGTGCAGAGGATGGACACATGGTCCTACTTGGCCGGTGGGGGGAGCACTGGAGAGGCATATGGGTGGGAGAGCGAGCTCCAGGCTGCTGCTGGGGAGTAGGCATCGAGCAAGGCCCACCACCTTTACTCTGTTGTTACAAAACGGGTATGTGCTTGCTGCTGTTCCTCAGAAGCCTCAGAGACATAACATCCAAGAGAAAAGCTGCTAAGAATGAACTCTGATCAGAGCTCTGCCTTCTGTCCTGTCTCATATCCTATAGGCAGCAGGGTATGGCTGGGCTGTACCAGGAACACAAACCTGGGGATTCTAATGTAAACCAGGCCTTGGATTCCTTGTCCCTGTCCTGCGGTCCCCAGGAGAAGTCTAACCACCTCAAGGGAGTCCACAGAAACTAAGGCAGGAGCCAAATTGTGCAACCACGGCTCCTTTCAACCAGAGTGTTACAGCTGGCATCTGTGGGGCTGTGCGACATTTCCCTGGCGCCAAGCCTCCCACCACGCCACCGAAGCAGCTTGGAAGCAACAGTGACAGTGGAATGAGAGGCCCCGCACTCTCACATACGCGGTGACCTCCACAGGGGTGTTGCTGGACTTCTCTAGAATGAGTTCCTCATCTGTAAACTAGGCAGCACAATGCCACACATGGTGTTGTGAGGAAGCACCTTGCCTGGCGCTCAGGGAACATCACTTTAGGCACACAGAAAGCAAGCATCTGAGCGTTGGGCTCCACCCACTCTCCAGCCTTTCCCAAGGCTGCCCCAAGAACCACATCTATGGTTTGGCAGTAACTTTCTTCCCAGGCCCTGCCCAGCGGGGTGGGTCGATGTCAGTAATCAAAAGACAGCGTTAGGAAAAGATGAGTGGAGACAGGAGGATCCTCAGATGACAGTACAACCCAGGGCTTGTGAGGGCACCACAGTGCTGGCCACCACTCCCTTAGGAAGCCCAAATGTAGGGACCGGAGAAACCCTGCCATAGCCACGGTGAGATCAGGAGCCACTGAGCGCTCCATTTCTTAGGGCTTTATTAAGTACTGTCATTAAAGCCGCATTTGCCTCCTAATAATAGCTTCTGGCATGGATAATTATGACTCTGTCATCCTAGTAAAGCCCATGTGGAGAGAGGGGAAGCTCACCTTCTGCCAGTGATGCTATTTGGTTATAGTAAGAGCAGGCCTTGGCAGGCTCACACTGGCTAGAGTAACAAAGTGCTGGCCTGAATCACGAGCTCTCTTCTCCAGCCATGAACACCCCAGTCCCTGACAAGACTAACCTCTCCATTCTCCCAGTGGGGTGCCCTGTCCTTGGCATCCTGTATTTCACCTCTGTGCTCTCCACAGGGACCGGAATGTTGTCTCTCAATGTTTCTAGAAATCTCTCTGCAGTAGTGACCAGTCCTGGAGTGTACAGGGTTTGCAGCCCCGTCGAGAAGAAGCATGGTGGGCCTAATGAATCCCAAACAACCCATCAGCCCTTCAAAAACTTCTGTGACTAGAAGGCACTAAGACTCTCCATTCACTTCCTCCTCCAAAATGAATCTACATGGAGGCTTCACTTTCTAGGTTCACAGAGATAAGGAACTCAAAGCAAAGAGGTTAGATAAGCTGCTATCTGTCACCCAGCCATCAAGTAGCAGAGACGGGATTTGAACCCAGGACAGTCTGTGCTCTTCAACACAAAAATGGCTTTTTCTTTACTATGTCTGGACTGAAGGGAAGATGGCAGTGTGGCCAGGGAACAGACATCCCAAGCTCCTGAACTCAATGTGTACTCTTGAGAAAGGCTCTTTGGTCTCTTCGCCTGTCAAACACAGAATACAGCAGCATCCCTTCCTGGAGGGTGTGGGAGTGTGGAAGCCAATGAGCTATTGGCTTTCTAGGTGAATGAAGATGATCCGTACCATTCCAAGCTGGAAGCATCTTCAATTCCCACCACCAGGTAGACAAACAGTGTGGTACATCCAAATCCATAAAGCAGCACAGGTGCATAGGGATGTCAAAACAGATAGACCACACTCTCTAAACATGTGTCCTTCATTGTATGCCAATTATGCTTAATACAGCCCTTCATAAAAACAAAATCAGATACCATTTTCTTCCTAACAGGTTGGCAAAGATTAAAAACTCCTATCTGGGTTTGGCAAAGAGGTAGGGACTGGGAATTCTCCCTGGAGGTGACGCTGAAAGCTGTTGTCCTCCTTTTGGAGTGCAATTTAGTAGCAATTACAGCATTTCCAATGCAAATATATACAGCCCCACAATGCACCCATGCTTGGCTAGCATCCTGTCTCACAGAAATGCTGGCAACTGCACAAAGGGAACCAAACCAGCACATATGGACAGCGGCAGAGGGCGGAGCCTCAGAACACACCACTAGAACCCAAATCCTAACCCAGCCCTTCCGGCTCAGGAGCCTCGCGACTGCATCGCAGTGTCTGACCTGTGAAGTAGGAATTCGCGGTATCACCTGTTTCATCCACGCTTGGAGCGTGTTCAATACTGTCTGCGAAGCACTAAAAACACTGAGTGGTGGCCGGGGACAATAAATCAAGCTTAGCTGTTACCACGTGACCATAACGGAAAAACAAACAATCAGGAGACTGCTGAAGTGCTCACCAGTAAGGGATCAGCAATGGATGGCACAGATTATAGAATGGGGTATTCACAGTGGTTCAAAAGAGTGTGCTCTCTGCACACGCCAAGAGCTCCCTAAGACCAGCTGCTCAGAGCATGGAGTGTTGGGAGAAAATCATCGAATATGACAGCATCCTCGGAGGGGGGACAATTGAGACCACTAGGATTGACTCTAGGGGGTCTTTGCTTTATTTAATTTGTTATATAAAGCTTTCACACTTTCGATGAGGGAAAGCAGTAATGAAAACACATGTTCACGGAAACAGGATTCACTCTTAATGTTTGCTGTGCCACTTGATTCTGAGTTCATGCCTGGGACTTGTTACACTCTCAGTTCCCTCAGGGTGCAAGGGATGGTCCCACATGATCCTGTCAGTGCTTGCCAAATGGATGAATCCGTGGACAAGCTGAAGCTTCTGACCGGCAGGTTCTGCAACATCGGGGTCCACAGTTAAAGTGCCCGAGAGCATTGTGATTCATTCTAAGGCCTGTCTTTTATTTTTAGAAATATGTGTGTTGAGAAGGCTAGGGAGATGGAACAGCAGTAAGAGTGCTTGCGAGAGGACCTGAATGCTAATCCCTGGCGTTCGGGTAAAAATTCTGAAATCTCAGAGTTCGGGACAGAGAGGCAGATCCCAGGCTTTGGCTGCCACAGCCCAAAGCCACCGGTGAGGTGAGCTCCTGTCTCAAGGGAACAAGGAGGGGAGAATTAGAAGAGGGTTCTTCTGATATCTTTCTATGGACTCCATATCACATGCATGGATACATACATGTGTGTGTGTGCACACACACATGCACACACACACAACACACTATACACACATAAATTTTGTTTTGCAAGATACTAGGCAGCAAGTTCTTTAAGAACAAGATTTGTCATTTTTCCAGTCTAATTCTTTAAGGATGGCATATTAAAGTAAGGAAATAGAAGAAGAGGAATAAAGACATTTGGATGGAAAGGTCAAGCCCACACTGGGTGTCTTCTCTAGGTGCCCATATGGTTATCACTTTCTAGTACGTCCTTGGGTCACATTCCTAAGAGAAACTTCCCCAAGCATCCCCTCTGAAAAGCTGCTCCTCCTTTATCCCTTTCAGAGTCAACGCAGAGATCACAGACATCAATCCAGGAGACTGTTACCAGATTCTCACCGGTGTGTGCCACCGCCATGCTCACCGGTGTGCACCACAACTTCAGTCTACTGTGTGGCCTCGAGAAGGAGAAAAGTAGTGTGGCATTCTGGGACAATTTGAGACAAGGATACACAGGAGGATGGCAGCAAAAGGGGTACATTTTAGTGGAGGTAGCAGGGCTTCTGCTTCCTGCCTAAACAAGGCCTGGGCTTCCCTGCTGGGGAAACAGGCCTTTCCTGGCTGAGTCTTACTGCTGTGCAATTCACGGTTCAGTCATGTGGCTATTAGGTCTACTATGGGAGCCAGAAACGGTAAGAGACTTTACCGTCTTGCAGGTCTGGGTTATTGCATCACATCTTAAAAACAACAAGGACAGCACCATGGCAAAAGCCATCTTGAGCTCCTCCAGGTCACTTGAGAACTATTACTTCCTGGAGCTAGGATTCAGGAAGGACTGCGATTTCACCTACCTAGAGGAATGCTAAGCTCGCTGAACACATCCTCCGGTTCCCAGGAAGGCAAAGAAAGGGGCTCTTTCAGCTCCACTTCGGTGAGTTCTGGTGACCTCACATCCGGAGATTTCACTTCCAGGTACCTGGAGTTTTCTGCAAAACATGAGCCCGTGGGGTAGGAGATGGGGACAAGCCACACACACAAACACACACACACACACACACACACACACACACAGAGCACCCCAGCAGACACCCAGAAACACACAGCAGGCCTCAAAGAGTCCCTGTAATTCTATCCCCTGCACTGTGTGACTGGGAACTGTCCCTTGGACTGCTTAATCACGTGAGGCTGGGGCTTCTAATTAGCACCAAAGTGCTATAATTAAGACCATTTTCCACTGCCAAAAAAGTGCCACACGCAATAATACCTGGCACTTCTTGGCACTTGGCACACAGGGATGGACTGGTAATGCCTTCACTTGGAAGATCCATCCTCCATCACCCCCAGTATCACTGCATCTCTGCAGGCGGAGGAACCCTTAAAGGGCAGAAATTGTGCTGACATCCGCCCAGAGTGGCCAAAAAGGCAATGCCACCCTCACCCCGTGCTTGTGAAGCAGCACTATTAAACACGGACGCCAACTACTCCGAGACCGGCACTTGTTGAGACCCGCACCACAAAGTAAAAGGTGCTCGATCAAAGAGAGGTGAAAATGTCATTGCTCTTTCTTCAAACCTGTTCTAGATGGGCTGGGCCTCTTTGTTTCTCTAGCAACAAGCAGGCTGATCAAGACCGTTTCCATGGAGATTCAGAGCCGGCAGGTGAAAAGCTGCTCAGGTCAGCTTGACATGGAGGAAAGCCCAAGCCTCTGGGCCACCCACCAGCTCTGCTACCCACAAGGCTCTGGGCTGAGATATTCCTTTTCCCTGCCGTTCCCTGTATTTTCTGCTTCCTGGGTTTTCCTCCAGCCTCGGTAAAGCTGTCAGCTTTCTATAAAATGGATCTCTAGTTGTGTGCTCTGCAGGAGTCTTAAGAACTACTCACTCTCCCTCCAACCCGCCCCCCTTCCCCGGCTCTGGGTGGATCTGTTTCCATCTGGCAGAGAAGCCAGGGCTTAGCCCATTTTAGACTCCTTAGTTCATGATGTCACAGCGCTGAGCATAGACACAACATCACCTCCGGTGGAGGCAGACTTGTTCCTGGGATAAGTCCTGTTTCACTATCTGACCCTGGAGAAAAACAGGTCTGAGGTAGCCAGAAGGGAAGCAAGCCAAGCCCTTCAGCAAAGCCCTCCTTCTTCCCTGTACGATCTTCTCTCACCCACCCCTCCATCAAGGAAATAATTACCAGGTGGTCTCCACTGTCCAGGAAAGGGCAGCAAGCCATCAAAAAGAACCCAAACCTTTTCCCCCAAAAAATCTGAAAACTCAACCTGATCTTAGACGCCTGTGCCTATGTGGGACCTCACAATGCAGAGAAATCGAGCCTCTCTCAGGTGGCTCCTCAGAACTCCTGACAGTGGCTCCTGTCAGCTTTCCTCTACACTGTTTGCCTGAGAGCTCTAACAGGCTAACCTGGCCTTCAGAGAGAGGCTTGCTTCTGCACATGGCTCTCTGCCTCGGCTTTAAAGTGAGTTGGAAACTCCCCGTACGCCTGTTCCAGTCGGCACACGCCTGCATGTCCTGAGGAAAGCAGTGGTCCAAACAACCCAACCACCCATGGAGGAAAGGAAGGTAGTTACCCTCAGTCAATGCGCCTTGGCAAGCCTGGCCTTGGAGGTCGCTTTCAGTAGGGGGGCTGGCTTTCTCTTCCAGGGGACTGACTTCGTGAGCCCCATCTTCAGGGGATCCCCTGGCCTTGCAGTCATCGAGAAAAGGGCTGGACTGCCGGGTCCTGTCCTCTGCTGGCTGGGGGGAAGACATTTGCTGGGTTGCAGGGGCCAGACGTACATCTGAGTCCTCTGCTCCTCTTGCCTCCTCGTAGCAATCTGAGCCCTCCAGTGAGAGGCCTGTCGTGCATTCAGCTGGCTTCCGCTCAGCGTCCAGATTTAGGCCAGGCATCTCCATGTCCGTGTCATTGGGACAGCTTGTGGATGTAGACAGCAGTTGTCTGGGCAGTGTGAAGCTGCTTTCTGCATCCCCGTTCCCTATGGTCTCCCCCGTCTTGGTGAAATCCTTGGCCAAGTCCAAACCCAAGGTGCCTGTCACGCAGGGACATATCTCAGGGAGGGTTTTGTCTTTCTGGGTAATGGGCATAATTTCTTCCAGCTCTGGGATGTCCGGCTCCATGATGAAATCTTCTTCCCCCACTTCATCCACCGTGACCAGCTCCTCCATGTTTGTGGGGTACCAGCTGTCCCCCTCGGCCTCGCTGCCACTCTCCCAGTCTTGTTCCTGTATGAGGACGGAGGATGTGCATCAGATGGTGGCTAACGATATTCACCCAGACGCTGTTTACACAGGCTACAGGAGCCCCTGGCCAGAAAGACCTGGGCGTTTGCTTGCTCTCCTCCTTGGGAAGCCTTTACTAGGTACTTAGGGAATGTGAGCCCCTCAAGTCTCAGTCTATCCGTTTAGCCTCAAGACGGCATCCAAGTTGGCACAGGCTTCAGAATAAGCCCTTGATGCTCAATCTGCCATGTTTAAAAATGACACAAAGTTTTTTTTTTCCAATGAAGCTCTTGTTGAAGTTACAAAGATTTTTTTATTCAGTGAATAATTGTTGAAATTATGCAGGTCAACTTCAAATGATTTCACAAATAAATGTGTTTTGAAAATTAAAAAAAAATGCACAAAGATTACCTACCCCTGCTATGTAACAGGTATGTGGTAAATGTTTCTGAATGAATAAGCTATAAATGCTAAACACTTATCCAGCTGTTTCTGTGTGTGTGTGGACATCACTAAAAGAAAAACCACTCACAAACGTCCTCCCAACTCCCTCCCTCTCAGCAAAGGTGCAACTTCCACGCTCACAGCTGCCCTTCTGCACTTGGAGTTCCCAGCAGCCTATGGTTTGGCACACAGATTCGGGAGGGTAGTTTCCCCTGACCGGAAAGGCATGAAGCTGGCTGTCATCCAAGGACATTTCTTTTGCCTGTGGAAGCCCAGCCCAGGAGGACGGTAATTGGATTTTGATTTTTAACTCAGTAAAAAGAATCTTTACAAAACAAGGAATGTATCTTGTTGATCTCAGGGTCTGGGCCTGCTGTGGCCCGGCCTGCAGCTTGAGTCCTTGTGTCCCCAGCCCACTAAGGGGCCTGCCTATTTTGGGAGCCTGGCTCTGAAACCTGAGTCTTTTTTGGGCATACGTTTTCTTTCTGCCCCACAGTCAAGTTACTGGAGAGGGAGGCGGAGCCCAGACACGTGGCTGAAGATCTCCCCAGTGAAGACACCTAAAGACCTCCACCGAGCCATTCCATTAGGAAGCGCCAGGGCCATTGGTGGAAGCACTTGTGGAGACTTACACACTTTCCACGCAGCCATTGTCAGGCATGACTGACTTATGTGACTGAGTCCCTGGTGCTAATACATGGCACCACCAACAAGATGGGGGCAAATTTACCTTCCTTGTCTTCGTGTTTTCTGGCTCAGAGGACTCCGTCCCTTCCTGCTGTCTGCCCGCTGGTAGAGGGCTTGCTTCCGTGCCTTCTTGTTCCTCAGTACCAGTCTAACAGGGGAAGAAGACAGTAAACAGGATCAAGAGTGAGCAGAGGCAGGGGCAGGAGAAGAGGGAATGCAGAGAGAGAGAGAGAGAGAGAGAGAGAGAGAGAGAGAGAGAGAGAGAGAGATACAGGTCTGCCTGCTTCTCCCCCGATCTCTCACAGTGCTGGGGAAACTGAGGCTCAGAAAGGAGTTGAACACTCACGCAGACAGATAAACAGAAAGACATTTTGAAAGCTGGCCCATTGACTTTCAGGGAGAGAAATCCCTGGCCACCTTAGGGTTTGCAGTGAGGATGACTATAAGAATCTAAAAGTGACCTGACATAGGCAGGCAAGACCCTGGCCACTATGGTGACATCTTCCAAAGGCATTTTTCCATTAACACACACACACACACACACACACACACACACACACACACACACACA